CTCCTCTCTCTCTCTCTCTCTCTCTCTCTCTCTCTCTCTCTCTCGCTCTCGCTCTCTCTAGATCGCTTTAATAAGAATCGTTTCTCCATCTATAAATTTATTGTTTTATATGTTTTATAAAATTATTCCTTTTTTCTTTAGTTAAAAAGTACCTTTTTAAGTAAAAATAAAGAACAAGTTCAACTGGTTTGACTGCTGGTTCAATCGCTAAAGGCTGGACTGGACACTTTTTTGGTCCAAAGCCAGTCCAGTTCTCAAAACAGTGGTTGTGACCTTCCTTTTTCTTTTTAATTATGAATTCACTGCTTGAGCTTCCTTGAATTTTGTTACTGTATATAAACAAAAAGGGAATGAAGTAAAATCTTTAATTCATCATGGCAGTGAGTTTCTCATGTGTAATCTTTATGTCTCACTGCTGTGGATTCCAAAGTGTCTAGAGAGTGAATATGGATGTCTACCGATACACAAATCAAAACAATAGGTTAGACCTCTTTTAGCTTTCCACAATCGGTTGTGCTTAGCTGCATCTGCAGGGTTAGGAAGGGAAAGAGAACCACCATCACTGCATCCATCTTGATTCTTTCTTATGAGTGGAATCTTCGCCATAAACACTTGCTTGATAATGTGTGCCGAATAGCTTAGAACCTGTACTGGGGTGGTTCCCATCTGTTCCCAACATTATTCAAAAGATGAGCTTCAGCTTGTGGAAAATTGAGTTGAGATGAATTTGCCGTTATCGACAAACAGCAAGGAACTCCTATCAATATGAAGGAAGAATGGCAACCTGGTGATAAATGAATGACGATATGGTGTATTTTAGGCTAATTTATGTAAACGTGGACACAGTGTACTTTTAGGAAGGGAACATCAAATTCATGTGTAATAGATGTGGGAAAAAAATAGTGGAAAAATAAAAGCGTATATTTGTTGACTTTAAACTGCAGATTTTCTTCAAAAAAAATAATTGTGAAAGCCAATGATTCAAACATTAAGAAGATAAAGTTGGACATAAAAAACTGAATAGAATTTTTAAGTGCATAGCAAGGCAGAGCAATTTCCTTTGTTTCGCAGATTGGGGTAACGTAGTCCCAGTCACATATTTTGGTTGACATAACAGCATGAGAATTGGATGATTTATTTTTTGTCTTTTCTTGTCAGATAAATCACCTACATTCTTTTTTGTTCGAATACATTTGAAATAAGAGTCAAGAAAGGGAAAACTATAAATTTTTATTGTTTTGTTGTTTTTGGTTAAGATAGAAATTCAATGTTTGAAAAGAGTCTTGTCGTGAAAAGTCTTAGCTCTAGAATGAGGAAATAAAGAACCTGAAAAAGACGATGCTGTGGAGAATTGGAGAAAAGACTGATCATATGCCATATGCACAAAGAATTTAAAAAGATTAAGATGACTGAAATGCAGCAAATGCCTTATTGGACTGTGAATTACAGTACCAATGTGGAATACACGAATGTAGGGAGGATTCCATGAAAGTAATATTTTGATGCAAATGACAAAGACGGAGAAGAGAATCTACTTTCTGTTGCGAAGAACTTTACATTGACTCTTCACCAGACTCAAAATTCAAAGGAAATTGCCATTTAAAAAAAAGAAAGTCAAAAGTGTTTTTTAAAGTAGTGGTCTTGTAATGTATTTTGCATGTATGGATAGGCGCTTTGCATTTCCCAAGTGTGGTGTTTGAGGATATGGATGAGCAAAGGTGGATTTTGACATCGTGTATGTAGAACATAGCACTTGCTTGGGTGTATATATACCTCTAAGCAAACATGAATCCTATATTTGACAATGAAAACTTGAGAAACGTGTATGTTTGTGTTCTTTTATCAGAAGGGTGCAATAGTTAATGATTATCAAAACCTGAAATCGTGGAACATCGTTAGAATGTTCACAGCATTTAATGGTGCTTCTTATGTTTCAGTAATTACTTTCGCTTTATTCCCTACATTAATAAAAATATTTGTAAATATATAATGTTATCTTTGTATATATATATATATATATATATATGAGAGAAAGAGAGAGAGATACTTTTTCTTTAACTGCCTTGATATGGGAATCCTTGTTCACTATTCAGATTCAAATCCGCAAATGTCCCCCCACCCCACCTTCCCTGTTATGTGTGGGATATTAGTTTCTGAGTCTCTCTTATTGGAATGTAATGCCTGAGGGCTTCGTATTGTGAAATTTGTGCAGTTCTAAGGAGAGACATTTGGGATCATCCTCCACAAGTCTATTTTCCCCAGACTCTATGTATGTTTTGTTTAACTCTGGCTTACCTCAGATTCAACGTCATCATCGTATGGGGGCACGATTTGTTGTTAGAGCTGATAGGGTGAGTATATTTTCTCGTCATTATTCATGTTTGATGTTGCTTGTGGTCAAATGTCTATAGTACCTAATGCTTAATATTTGTCATTGGCTTTCTATTGTATGCAGGATTATTATTCTGTACTCGGGGTGTCTAGAAATGCTAGCAAATCTGAAATAAAGAGTGGTGAGGATCTTGTTATGCTGTCTGCTCTCAGTGGCTGTTGGTTATTGGGTTTTCTATATTTCTTATTTTTCTATGTCTTATTTCTATGTTTTTCTTTATTAGTTTTTTTTTTGTTCATGTTTATCAGTACTGGTGTTATTTTTATTATTTCGTGGACATGAAACTTACTTGTTTTAGTTGCTCCAAATGAGTTATGTGGTCAACTGTTGGGTGGGGTCATATTTAAATTTAACAAAGAAATCCAATAATCTCAGTTCTGTTTTGGAGTTGAATCAAAGATTTTTTCCAAGTGTGGTTCCAATCAAAGACTAATGAGTCTTCTCCAAGGAAGATAACAAGTAGTCTTCTCTAGAAAGTCTACCATCTAAGACTTCATCAGACAGCGGAGATGGGGCATTCTACAGTAGTGTTGAATAGTTCTCCATGATGTCCCATCAACAAAGTTTCAGATGGTGGATTTTCTTGGGAGTGCAGCTATAGAATCCTCTGTAGGGGCTATTATTTATTGTGCCAAAAGATTAAAGGATGACTGCTGCAGTCTTTGAATATTTACTATTTTCTCTTAGTTGTTCTGTGTCAAATCTGATATTGGAAAGTGCTACGTCACATGTTAATCTCAGATCTGTGATTTAGAATTCACTTCCACTAGTTGTAAGCAGTTGAGTGCCAATTTTGTCTAACTAGTCAATATAATTAAGCAGTCTATGTTTTGTGGTTGTTTTTTTTTTTTTTTAAGTTCTTTTCTGCTTATGTAGAAACAAGGACGTAGTTGAGATTTATGACCAAGAAATACCTAAAGAGATTATTTTCAATGTCTTGGGATGATAATCCTGGAGAATGGAGGGATTGAGAACGTTATCGTGCATAGAATTCGAGCTGATTGGGCGAAGTGATGGGCATCCGGAGTTTTATGTGATCGCCGCATGCTCATGAAACTAAAGGGAAGTTTGATAGAATGGATATAAGACCAACCATGCTTTATGAGACGGAATGTTAGGCATTTAGGAAACAAGATATCGGTAAGATGAGTGTAGCTAAGGTGATTGAGATGGATGAGTGGGAAGATAAGAAAAGATAGAATTCATAATGAATACATTTGAGGGAATCTAGGGGTGGCTCCAATAGGGGATAAGATGAGGAAAAATAGACTTAGATGGACTAGCCATGTGCAGCGCAGATCTAATATAACACTGGTTAGGAATGGTGACTTAGTTTACATGGAAAGCTCTAAAAAGGCAAGGGGAAGGCCCAAAAGGACTTGATGGAAGTAGTAAAAAGAGATATGGTAACTTATGATCTAATTGAGGGTCTGACTCTTGATAGAATAGAATGGCGCAGCAAGATTCATATAGCCGACCCCAAATAGTTGGGATAAGGCTCGGATGATGATGATGATGAACTCTTTTCTACTTATTCTGAGAATACATATATTACTATTGGTCTTTGAACATCTCTTTCCCTTTACTCTTTCTTGAGGATGTTTGTCTTCTGGAAAATGGCAATTTATGTGATCCTGTTTCAGGCTATTATAGCCCTCACTTATGATTTTTGTCTTGATATTAAAATCCAGATCATCCATTACAGATCACTTGGATCTAGGTGTAGTTTTGGAAAGGGATAGTGAAATTCTGGGAGTACCAATTCTGGTCGAGATGATTGCTTGTATTTGTAATATTTTGTTGCACCAAACATATTGGCTTCTCTTTGGTAATTATTTTTAACTATCTAAGCTCTCATGAAAATTCAATGAACTTCAATTGTACTGATGATCGACTGTGGTGTCCTACCTCAAAGCTTGTGGAGATCATCAAAAGCGTCAAAACTATTTTCATTTACGTTGTAGCCAAGTTTCTATAGGGGCATCTTGATGAAGGTATAAAGCAGATTATTAATTGGAAAAGAAAAGGGGAATATAGCATATTATTTGCTAAAGCAAAGAAAGAGAATTTCACTATCTTTACCCATGTTGTATTCAAATTTCTAGGGCTGTATATCAATAAAGACCAGACAGCAGATTATTTGTTAAAGCAAAACAAAATGAGAATTGCTTGAAGGAAAGCATGCCATGGTTATGAATCTTGTGATTTATCATGTTTGGTTGTGTATCATCCTTCTTATTCCCGGCAGTTGTATATTTATTGTTAGTTATTGACCCTTATTTTCTGATATTTCAGCTTATCGGAAACTTGCAAGGAATTACCATCCTGATGTAAACAAGTGAGTTCAAAATCTTGATCTGCTTACGTTTGTGGCTTGTTCCCTTATGTGAGTAGGTGTGCTGTGTAAAGCTGTAGTTCAAGTGTGTTTGTGGTATGTCTTATTTGTTCGGTTCAATTGGCTTAATCTGAATAAGGCTTCATCCTCTCCTTTTGTATATTGTAGGGAATCTGACGCTGAACAAAAGTTCAAAGAGATCAGTAATGCTTATGAGGTACTTTTTTTTTACTTGTCTCCATGTGATTAGAGATTGTTGTTTTTTTTTTTTTTGTTGACAAGGTTACGAATGGGACTTGAGATGTGCTATGAAAACCCAGCCTCTACCGTCTTTACCCAAGCCCAATTCGTAAGATTTGATTGGAGATTGTTCCACTGTTGAAAATAGAATATGTTTAGATATCAATGCAGAAGCTGTCGGCACTGTGACTTCCTCTCTAGCTATGATATTGTTTTTTCCAGTGAAATTTTTCTGGGGATAAATAGTGTTTTCCATTGACTAATGATGGTCTAATTGGACGATGGGATGTAGGTCCTGTCTGATGATGAGAAAAGGTCATTGTATGACAAGTATGGAGAGGCTGGACTCAAGGGTGCTGGCATGGGCACGGGGGTAAGTAATTCCATCTTCTTGCTGCGAGGCAGCTATCAGTTCTATTCCTTCGCCTCAGCACACCTCCCTCTCCCCCCGCGCCCCACCCAAAAAAAAAAAAAAAAGTGATCACCACACCATGTCTTTCTCTGTACTAATAGCTGTAAAATTTCTCCCCAAATATGGCACTCTTTGTTCATATAAATGGCCTCTCTCTCTCTCTCTCCTCCCCCTCCCTCTACCCCACCCCCCCGCCAAAAAGAAAAAATAAAAAAAATCTCCATACAGATTACTGCAATTTTTTTCCCCAAAAAATGGCTCCTCTCCTGATATAAATGGCAATCTCTGTGTAGGTGTGTTTATGCACGTGTGTTTGTGTGTGTAAATCATTATAACCCTCCTATGTAAATAGCTACAATCTGCTTTCTCTCTCTCCTGCAGGATTTCAGCAACCCATTCGACCTCTTTGAGTCCCTTTTCGAGGGCATGGGTGGCATGGGGGGTATGGGTGGCATGGGACGTGCTGCTGCCCGTAACCGGCCCACACAGGGTGACGACCAGTCCTATAGCCTCATCCTCAACTTCAAGGATGCTGTCTTTGGCGTCGACAAAGAGATTGATATCACCCGTCTCGAGGCCTGCTCCACCTGTGACGGCTCTGGTGCCAAGCCTGGCACAAAGTCCGTCAAGTGTACCGCATGCGGTGGCCAAGGCCAAGTTGTCACCTCTGCCCGCACCCCACTAGGTGTCTTCCAACAGGTCTCAACATGCAATGTGTGTGGCGGGACCGGCGAGACCTCTACCCCATGCCCTACATGTGGAGGCGACGGCCGAGTATCGAGAACGAAGCGTATAAGCCTTAAGGTGCCAGCCTATGCAACTTGGACACATATATACATTGTTCTTGCCACATGTTGACATGCAAGACACAACACACATCTGATACTCCACTTTGGAAAAACTTGGATACTGTTTTTTTGTCTAGTGTCTTCCCCATTGAAAGTGCTTATTGTCCTAAAATCTCACTTCCCACTCCTTTGCTCTCTCTCTCTCTCTCTCTCTCTCTAACAGGCATCTCTGTCAGACACTGACATTTGTATCCATGTCCTCCTAACATAGGTGCCAGCTGGTGTTGACTCGGGTAGTCGACTTCGGGTTCGCTCTGAGGGTGATGCAGGGCGACGTGGGGGCCCCCTTGGGGACTTATATGTTTTTATTGAGGTTCTTGGGGACCCGGTTTTGAAAAGGGAAGGAACAAATGTTTTGTATACTTGTAAGGTATCTTATATTGATGCAATATTGGGGACGACGGTGAAGGTGCCAACGGTAGATGGGATGGTGGACCTGAAGGTGCCAGCAGGCACACAGCCAGGGACAACGCTGGTGATGGCAAAGAAGGGTGTACCGTATTTGGGGAAGCCCAATGTGCGGGGGGATCAGCTGGTGAAGGTGCAGGTCGAGATACCAAAACGAATCAGTAGTGATGAGAGGAAGCTCATTGAGGAGCTCGCATCATTGAGTAAGGCCAAGACCGCAAATAGCAGGCGGTAGTGGTGACAGTGTTCTCTCTCTCTCTCTCTCTCTTTATTGGTGGTATGAGGCATCTCTCTCTCTCTCTTTTGGGGTATGAGGGCGTGCCTCATATAAATCCTTGAATTTTTTTGTGGGCGGTGATCGTGGATGTTATCTGTTTCTATAGATTTATCATGGTTATCAATGTAATGTTAGGATGTTAATTACTTTTCAAAGGAAATGAAGGAAAATGAAGTCACTGATTGGTGTACCCTGTCAACTCTCTCGCTCTCTCTCTTATCTCGTTGCTGTGTGCGCCTGCCAAGGCTGATGAATGTTGTGTTATACATGTTAAAAATTTCACCTGTTTCGTTAGTTTCTTGATGTCCTTGAAGTTATTTTACCAGGAGACTGGATGAACTGAACTCTGTTAATTCAAGCCTAGAATAGGGGACAGGCCCTGGGCTATTGGCCTAGTGGGTTTTTATAAGGATGATCTCTTTGCTATTTCTTTTATGATAATTTATCAGAATATCTACAAGAGATGAGTTGCTAAACATTCTGTACATTTGTAACCATTCAAACTTAAGATCATGTGTTTTTTTTTTTTTGTAGATATTTTGAAATTGAATAAACAAGAATTGGGTAAAGTGTTAAATTGAGTAAATGATAAATTTTTCTTGTAATAAAATCTTTTGAACATTGTCAAAAAAGGAGATAGATTCTCTTTTTATTAGGGGCATCCTTATGTTATTTTTTTGCCCCTAT